TAAGAAGTTGAACAAACTCATGTAACCCACTTGCCATGCGTATTTTAGAGGGAAGCCTATTCCATATAAGTGCATACTTAGAGAGGAAGAAGTTTTCTCGAGTTTTGGATCTATACTTCTCAAGTTTGACCGTAGATACTTTATCTCGAAGGTTATGTGTACAAGGGCCATGGATAAGGACTAAACTGCAGGAGGAATATGTGAGCTTGTGCAGGAGTTTAAAGTAAAGGATCAGATTGGACTTAAGCCTTCTTTTCCATAATGGATCGAGCCCGAGTTCAATACATCGGGTTGGATAGTCAATGGGTGAGCTATGATTTAGGACTTTACGAGTAAATTTCCTTTGTATTCCTTCAAGTTTCAACATATCAGACAGGCGTACGTTAGAAAATAAGAAAGAGCAGTATTCAGCAATAGGTCTTACGCATGTTTTATAGAGAATTGTTCTGGATTCTCTATGAAGGAAGTTACGAAAGATGAAACCAAGCATTCTTCTCATTCGAGAAACTTTATTGGAGATATGTTCGGAGAAGTTAAGGTTGTGCGAATAATGCACTCCAAGATCAGTTACGGATGTGAGTTTGGGCAATACATTCCTGTTGAGAATGAGATCTAATTTGGGAGCAGCGTCTCCGAAACACATCCAGCCACACTTCTCAGTATTAAGTTCAAGGTTCCATTGCTTACACCAGACATCTACAGTATTGAGTTCGTGCTGGATTGTGTGCAACAAGTTTCCTAAGTCAGATTTGCTAGTTTGATAAATCACTTTTAGGTCATCCGCATAGAGGTAGGTTTTACCAGTGTTGAAACAACTGCATATGCTGTTGATGTAGATTATGAAAAGTAGTGGACCCAAAACACTGCCCTGCACAACACCACTGGTAATTGGTCGAGGTGTAGATGTATGTGAGTTGATTTTGGTAACCTGATATCTGTCTGTGAGGAACGACCTAATCCATTGCAACAGGTGGCCACTAATACCGACGGACTGAAGTCTGTTGATTAAAAGACTGTGAGGTACCTTATCGAAAGCCTTTTTGATATCAAAATACAACACGATTACTAGTTGCTTTTGATCGCGTATGCTGGTAACCTCATTAGGGATAAAATAATCTTCAGACGAATAAAGGTGCAATAAAGAATTATATAATAGATGCATGTATTATTTTATATACATAAATATACTGATAGCCATCAACTATAATCACATGGCGGTCGACGTTGACCAGAGTTCTGAGCCAACCAAACCATATTGGTTGGAACACCTGTTCCTTCAGGTTGTACCTTGCCAAGAAGGTCGATTGAAGAACGGTAAGCAGCAACCCTAATTATGATGGCGAAGTCGGACTGCTCACTGTACAATGATTTGTCTGCAGTAGGGATTCCCCTCCGAAAACCTGAACTTGAAACGATTCAGTCAGTCGGTCAGTTGCATCGTTTATCTTTACCAGCTCTCGCCGCTAATGCTAATGATTCAAGTTGATGAAAGGATGTCTCCGGTCTACTTTAAACACTCTCTAAACTGCATTTTATATCTCCCGAGATGCAGATGTTGAACTCTCAAAGCAAAAGGAAAAGAGGAAGGCCAAGGAACATATTACGCCGAGAAATAGAGAAAGACATGAGAAGAATGAACAAAAATTGGACAGAATGGGAAAGGGAAGCCGAGGACATAGTTGGCTGGAGAAAACTGGTGGGCGGCATATGATCCGTTGAGGGCAACAGGCGAAAGTAAGTAAGTATGCGGATGTTGTTCCGAATAAGACTGCAGGCTTCCTTAACTTGTACTTTGGAATCTCGCGCCATCGAAGTATCCTGCCTCACCAAAACGCGAATGCGGGTTCTAAATATGTTCATCAATTCGACTTCCACATGTATAGATAAAGAACTATAGCGAGCCGTACGTCTTCGCGGGATAATAAATGTTCATCCCGGAAATCTGAGAATAAAATAAGAAGGAGATTCTGGAGGAAGAAGTATATTTGATACTGACCTCGTGATGTCGAAATAGTATCAAGGCAAGAGGGCGTACAAGCGGCTAACGTCCACGCAGGAGACGTGCGGGGCGGGGGATTGAGAATAACATGCCTGGTGCAAGAGAGATAGTCTTTAGTACAAATAAACAAGAGGTGTGCAATTTAACAATTATTGTCAGAATTAGGTACAATAATAAATGTTTATATTTCAGCAATTGTGTTTTCTTTGTGATAGTACACTACTTCATTAGCCTACCTTAGAAAGTGTTTGCACTTTCGATACTTAGCGGTTTCGTGCGGAGGGGTGGCCGTTCAGTTGACATGCGGTTGTAGGGGGGAAGGATTGACGGACAGAAAGCAACCAATGAAGCTCGATCTGTCAAAGAGATTCTTTTACGGTGAAATGTACCGATATTAACTCACCAAGTTTAATGTTCGAGTTGGCATGCCACAACAGCGTGGCTCGTATGCAGAGTCTGAGGATTGTATTCAAAGGGGTTCAAACCAGAAAAATAACTGCAGAAGTAGGGCAGATCCAAATTAGCGAGGGAGCCAGAAACGACCAGTTCGACACCATTCGTATGCCCGAACATTCGATACCAAAACATAGACTGAGTGCATTCACAAGAGCGTGTAGGATCAGGCCAGGTTTCACCAAAATTGACTGAAGTCGACGGTACCAATAGGGTAATGGTCGTAGACATGGGCTCGGGATACAAAATGGAAGAAAAAGAGAAAGGTGTAGCATACATGTAGTATGAGGATACTGTTCTATCGCGTATTCGTAGTTGCCTGGGTGGTTGTCCAAGAAAGCGTACAGGTAGGCGTACGCGGCTGCCAGAAGGCGAGACGATAGTCTCGTGCGTACCGTGCGAGCCAGCAATCTCATCTGGAACTTGAACCAACTGCCAACTAACACCAAAGCCAGAATTTCAGATACAAATGTAAAGACGATTCTATCACAAAAGCCATCGTCATACGATGCAAGTGTTTAACAACAAAATGCCTCGGATCCGTTGCTCAGATGCTATTAGAAACAACCTGTTATCGGAAAGAACAAACCAGATTCCAGCAGTGAAAGAAATCAGGAAGTAGCGCTGGTAAGGGATGGATCACGCATTGAGGAAAACATAGAACTGAGTCACGAAACAAGCCTTCACTTGAAATCCTCTAGGACAAAGGAAAGGAGCAAGTCCAAAAAACGCACTACGCCAAGAAATGGAGACTGACATTATCAAATCGGTCAACGTCGGGAAAGAACTAGAAAAGAATTCTGAAAACAGAGAAGGTAGGATAATGCTGGTGGGTGGCTTATTCTCTAATAATGATCCAAGGCGTAAGCAAGTAATAAATGTAACACAAGTCTCGTTAGAGTGACAGGTAACACATAGAAGCTTCATGAGAAAGGAGGCAGTCGAAATAGGGTTTGTGAACGCCAGGTGTTTTGTGATTAAACGTCTGGTCAGTTAGCTTCAAGGTTCGGTAATATGAACTTCATAAGGACTGAGCTATGACGGTTGATAAATCTTCGAATTTAATAGCTGATTAGGCCTTCCAGACTGATTCTTACTTTGTTAGATTTACAGGTCGCACACCAACTGAAGGAGCAAATTCATTCATCCGCACCAGATCTTCCTGAGGTTCACCTGACAACGCATCTCCTCGAACCAACTAGCAAGCGAAATCGACTCACATATCGAAATCCTGGTTCACTCTCAGACAACCAACACTGGAAAAAACTAGCGACAGATAGATAGGAATATAGTTACATTTTCATATAACTCATTAATTGAATTCGTCTAATCCGATAAGACGCTACAGACCCCCTTTATTTATTGGCGCTTAAATTCCACTATACCTTTGTCGTAATGCGAAAAGATGCAGCAGAAATTACTGGGAAGTGGTAAGTCAGAGAAACTGGAATGTCAGGCTAGAAACCTCATTTCAAGGGCATTGAAGTGGCAATACATGCTATTCATAATGGTCTAAGTCCTACGGTTTTTCCGTCCTGCAAATCCTCTACTACCGAGAATAAAACTTATGACTTATGCCATTCCTTTCGGTTTTTGGCTAATGTGTGTTATGTAGCTTGTGGTAAACACTGTCCACTATCTTTGTCACAAGCTAGTCTAAATTAAACAATTTTCTTGCACTCACATCTTTTTGTTTTGGTATAGTTGTCAAATATTTTTGCAAATTGACCATTGAGTCATAGTTCAGCCACTCTATTGCGCTAGTTCTAGTCAGTATCACTAGATATTTATTCCCTTACGGTGATGCCAAGTTTTCCATTCAAACAGTTTCCATTTAAATGCATATAACATAGATGCAAAATAATATTGGGGGCGGGGGTATTTTGAATCACACATTCAAGTTTTCACATAGATTGAAGTTTGAATTTTCTGGCTTAATTTGTTTACACGCACAAACCGTCTCAGAAATAAGGTCACCGCGTTACCTGAACTATATTTCGGAGTAGTATGAAACTGCGGCTGTGCTATCTTTGATTTTCGGTAATCGGCTTATCACAATCTCATTTTTGTGTTGTTTCTGGTTTTCGTCCATTGCTTAGTTTATTAAGTGTATGTGCTTTTTGAACCATCGGCTCAGCTTTGCTTATGTTCCTTCATCCAATTGCTTGACACCCATACGGCACATAAGGTTTATCCCGGCTCAACGCTGACTTACCCGAGTCTGAAGATCCATATCTATGACAAGTTTTGAAAAGCTATTTATGGTGTCACTAATGTGGGTCTATTCACTTTGTATTGCAGGACGATCAAGGACAAATGAATTGGATGACTAAGAACGAGTCCTGTTTGAACTGAACTGGCTTAGTATCCTATGAGATCGTTATGTAAATCATATCTTCCTCTTGTACTAAGGTCGCACGACCCAACTTTAAATAATATACTCTATTGGCTTACACTGTGTTCTCCCTAAATGTGACGTCTTTGATTGACGTTGTATTCTGTGGTTTTAGGTCTTTGCCTATCAATAGACTTCAATAACACGTTTTAAATGTCTCTGATCGAGAAATTTAACACATTACGACTTATAATACGTCAAAACGGCGGAATTAAAGCATCATTTTTGACTTTGTTCAGGTAAGTCTTTCACTTTTTTGTATAATTACTGTAGAACTGATGAATTAAAATGGGGAAATTTAGTTGGAACTGACAAATTCGGAAATAAATACTATGAAAATAATAAATACTTTTTGGGTGAGTTTCGTCCGCTAATTTATTTCAGGGAGAAACCGTTGGGTTATATATTCGAATCAGTTTGGTTGGGATTACGAAGGTTCTCAGGTCCCACCGGAATGGTTTGTTTTTATTTGTTAAATCCATGTGAAAATAGGCACCGCTGGTTACACTACATGACAGATGAAACTCCAGTGACTAATCCGCCAACCGTTCACAAGTGGTCCGCTGAACATTCTGAAAATTTGACTTTGGAGAAGGATAAGAAATATGTTCCTTACTCGACTACCCCTCCAAAAGTTGAACCTTGGGTACCACCAAAGTGATATAACTTGTCAAAAGGACCATCTGTTCCTTATGGATATCACTTTTTTGAGTGGCTTTAACGACAAACAAGTTTTTGTCAATTGATTTCCTATTCTCAGTCAGTTGTCATGATATTTGTTTTACTAGCCATGCTTGTTTATCAAGCTAACAGTTCTTTCGCTTTCGCATAATTTCTCTACATAGTAACTGCGTGTTTTAGACATCAACAACTATTGTTTATTATTTGTCCTGATTAGTTTATTGGAATTAATGCTGTCAAATGAAGCTTTTTTACTTTACAAAATGTTCTATCCTAAATGGGATGTATTCGTTCGTCGCCCGAACGTAAATGTTACCTGAGCGTGGTGGTCGTGCTTGCTTGTTGTGATGACCCAACCGAGCTATATTGGCTGTGATATATGTCTCTGTATGTTCAACCTTTCCAGGTCGATTGGAGAACGATGAGACTAAAAACAGTTACTCAAGATCTGAGGGCGAACTCGTACTGCTGTCTGTAGAGGGTTGTGACGGCAGCAAGGTGTTTCTCTCGGATAAACCATCTGCAGCGATGCTGCATTTTCACAACGAAGGAAGAGGTTACAAAAGCTTGACCCTAAAAATGACATACCTCACAGGTTTCCGTCTCCGGCAGTAAGTGCTTTTAAACAAAAGCGGAGCTAATACTCGCCATTGCCTCTTTGTTGTCTCCGCCTACGCTCTCACTGACTGCACTTCAGACGATAAAAAAATAAGTTCTACAGAAAGCTTTCCGACCTCCTGAAAAATGTTAGCCACTGATATAGAGATAGTGGCTGCTGACTTCAATTCTCAGCTAGGTAAACTGAGTGAAGAAGGAAGACACCTGGGTGGATCTTACGGTGTCGTGGCTCAAAGATCGGATAATGGCAACCGTCTGTTGCAAATATGCTCAGATAACCGCCTATTTCTAATAAACACTGACTTCAAGCACAAAGAAAAACATCTGACCTGGTGACCCCCTAAGTTGTCTCAATCTTGGACCCAACTAGATCTTATCTCCATCAACCAACGATGGAGGTGTTCGGTAGAGGACTGTCGCTCGTTCTGGAGCACATGTCTAGATTCAGATCATGCTCTAGTGCGAGCACGTATTTGTTTGCGACTTACTGGACGCATAGAAGACACCACAAGGAAACTTCTCAGGGTTCTACTTAATGATAGCAGAGCTAAGAATAGCTTTCAGGAGCAACTAGAAAAACAGTTAGGCGAACTTGTAAGTGATTCCCATCCAGAGGCAGCTGGGAATGATATCAAAAAATCTGTGGAAAGAGCAGTGATATACGCTAGCAGGGTAAACCGTACGGCTAGGTAGAAGCTGTGGATCTCAGCAGCATCCACCGGACTGATAGACGCTCATCCCACCTTGCTTTGAACATGACGAAGAGTGAAGTCAGCTTAGGCACAGGCTGATAAAAAGCTCACGCAACGACCGTGAACAGTGATGGGTAGTGGAAGCAGAAGCGATGGGAAAGGCAGCGGCAATCAGCAATAGCAGACAGTTGTTACGACTTTTCAAGGAAACAGGTATTAAAAATTTATCTGTCAGCGGAACTATCTCCGAAAAGAATGGGCTTTTGATTCATTCTCAACGAAGGAGATTGGATCGATGGGTAGAATACTTTAGGGATCAGTCCAACTGGCCTTCAGGCACACACACGATCTCCAGTCATCCTGAATGGCTAGTCGACGTAAGCCCTCCGAGTCTATGTGGAGTTGTAAAAGCTATAGGAAATCTGAAGCGAGTGAGAGCAGCACGTCTTGATAGGCTTGCCTGTGAGATTTTTAAGAATAGTGTTCCAGTTTTAGCAGCTAGATTGACTGAGATGTTTGGTAGAATCTGGGAGCTGGACGTAATCCCATCTGATTGTTCTCAGTCGCTAATTGTTCCAATCTATAGGAAAGGACAAATGTATTCTTGTGACGGTCACAGAGGAATCACTCTAACTAATATAGTACCTAAAATATTGGCCTCAATAATACTTCGACGCCTAACGAAAACTTGTGAAGAGCAGACTAGAAAAAACCAGGCTGGTTTCAGACCTGGACGTGGTTGTACAGTCCACATTTTCACACTACGACAGGTCCTGGAACACACACACATTTAGGCGTCCTACAATAGTTGTCTTCCTGGACGTGAAGGCGGCATTCGACTCTGTTAATCGTGAGGTTCTGTGGCAGTGTCTGTCATTGAAGGGTGTACCAAAGAAGTACATCAACCTTATACAAGCTCTCTACTCTTACATCACCGATCGAGTGAGAGCTTATGACTGGGTTTCAGGTGACGGGGAATAACGTTTCGTGAATTCGGATCTTTTGCAGCAGAGGTGTGGGTTGATAAAGGAATGTGTGAAGACTTAGTCTTGAAAGTAGTGGGGATGTTAGGGGGTGGAGGGAGGTTTTGATTGTGACCAATTTTGTCTCGTCTGCTGTTACGGGCATGAGGGCGGTTGTCACTTCCTGGCTGCCCATACCGTTGTAGGGTGGTTTTTGAGGAGCCTGAAAAGGAAGGTGGATTATTGTTAGTCCTGGAGACCTGGTAGCGTGGCCGCAGAGCCCAAGGGACAACTGCTTGAGGCCGGTCACGCACGACCTTTTCATGATAGGTTTTTCGAGTATTAGCCCCGCTTTTTAAAAGCACTTTTTGGGCAGCCCTTACCGACGGAGACGGAAATCCGTGAGGTAGGGTGAAGTGTTACATTTTCTTAGGGTCGAACTTTTCTAAGCCTTCCTTCCTTGTGAGAAGGCAGCATCGCTGCAGATGCTGGTTGTCCGAGGGAAACACCTTACTGCTGTCACACCCCTCTGCAGTCAGCAGTACAACTTCGTCCTCAGAACATGAGTATCTGCTTTTAGTCTGATCGTTCTCCAGTCGACCTGTGTGGCATGGTAGAACCTTTCAGGAACATATGTTCCAGCCAATTTAGCTCGGTTGGGTCATCATGATAGGCAAGCCCGACTACCACGTCAAGGTAGCAGCTACGTTCGGGTGATGCGATTCAGCCTTCGTACAGTGAAAGGAATGAGTTAGAAAAGGTTGACCCTAAAATGCTACACCATTCCACCTCACGGATTTTCGTGTGAGACGATAAGACCTTTTGAAGAGCTGAGCTAAAAAATTAGGAGCTTCCCATGAGAATGCTCTGCACAAACGACCTAAAGCATTTGTCCCTTGGGCTCTGGGCCCACGCACCCAGTTTGCTAACCCGATTTTCTTCTCAGGTTCTTTAAGCAACACTCACGGTGTGGGCAACCGGGAATCTACAATCGCCCTCCTACCATTAACAGCGCTCGAGACCAACTTCTTCACGATCAAATCGTTCTCCTACGTCTCCTACGTCTTAATAATTGTCTCTTTAAAAATATTCACTTATATTAGAGTAAAACGTGTTGAAGATGTAAGTGAAAACAATATTGTGGCTTACACGTATTGTTCAAATTCGGTTAATCCCACGACTAACCCTTCTCGCGTAACCTATACATCTCTCGCCGCTAATACTAGTTATTGAAGTTGATGAAATGATGTTTCCAACCTCCTATAAACACTCTCTAAACTGCATGTTATATCTCCCAATATGCGGATGTTGTTCCGAATAGGACTGCAGGCTTCCTTGACTTAGACTTTAGAATCTCCATGTATCCTGCCTCACCAAAACGCGCATAAAGGTTCTGAATAAGTTCATCCATTCGACTTCCAAATGTCTAGATAAAAAACCATCGCGATTCACGCCCCGTGTATGTGGAAGCTCTACAGCTGTTCCCCGTTGTCTTGCTGGTATAGGTCTAGGGTTGAGTTCAAAAGCAGAACTAGCTCTTGTAGACTTGACTTCACGTGTGCGCTGTCCGACTAAACTGAACAGTAAGAACTTGGAAAGAGGGAAACAATCACTGTCACCTCGTTGTTTCTGTCTACGCTTTCACTAATTGCAGTTGAGATGAGGTAGAAGATGATGTTGAATGAGTAGCTGGTGATTTAATGCTCAAAAAGGTAGATTAATTGAAACTGTAAGACGCCTGAGTGGGTTTCATTGTGTCATGGCTCATTGAATAGATATTAGGGACCGTCTGCTGCAACTGCTCAGATAACTGCTTATTTCTGTCAAATACTAACTTTCAACACAATGAACCACATCTTCTGACATGGCGTTCCTCAAAATCGACTCAATGTTGCACCGAACTAGACCACATTGCTCTCAGCTACCGATATAAGACTGTCGTTTGTTCTGGCCTGTATATGTCTGTGCCTTTGTGGACGTAAAAAAGACAATAAGGTAATCCCTTAGATTTCTACCTAATGATACAAACGCCATAAGTATATTTGAAGAGCAAGTAGAAGAACTGTTGGACGCCCAGATTAGTGGTGACTACTCCGAGGCAGCTTGGAATGATATTCAGAAGGCTGTTGAAACAGCAGTGATATCTTTCATTAAGACGAACCAAAAATTTAGGGCGAAGCTCGGGACATGATGAGGAGCGGAGTTTGCTTAAGCATAGGTTGATTAGTAGCCTACACAGCGATCACGAAGAGTGGTGGGTAGCGAGACGATGGAACAAGCTGCGATAAGTAAAGGGGAATCGGTGTTAGGAATCCGACTTAGCAAGACTTTTCAGAAAGAAGGGAATTACCATTCACTCTCAATTAAAGAGATCTTAGCAGCGTTTGGGGGTATCCCTCAACCACACTGTTAGGATATTCACCAAATATCGTAAGTGGATTATTTGTAAGTCTAATTCTATTGATAAATTCCTATTGGTCGTCCTAACTATCAAAGTCACATACTTCACTGTTGTTTCCTATTTGACCTAAGTGTATAAATATGCATTATGTGTAATGTCTTATGACCC